TAATCAGAGAAAAAGACATGAGGTTGCAATGGTACCTTACCAGTCTTTACTGGAGGAGCTGCAGAAATCCACCTCCTTCCAAGTAATTGCTGTGTCCCATACATAGCTTTATCACAACTAGACAACTTATGTTCCTCCAGAGCTGTGGGTCCCTGCAGCTCCTTTTCTGACTCAGTCTTTCAGTTTGAGAGGACAGTCATGTCTTTGTAGGTCTGCATTTGGTCCATCCCATCTCTATCATATACATGTGCAAAAAATGAGGTACAGTTTTCATTAAGCCAGAAAATCTCAGGGCTCATGCTTTCTTAAATTACTATTTATATTGAGTAAACTTGTCTTTGTTCAAATTCTAAATTTATTCAGATTTTATGAGCACAATAAAAAAAATTCTCCCCTTGACGTTCATATAAATCAACTTAACATGTCACCATTTGCTGCATCATGATTTTCACTTTGTTACATTGTGTTGAGTCTCTAAAGTGAGAGAAAAATGAGATTCTGCTATAGCCGAATGACCTATGCAGAGAATATATTTGCTGCAAATTCTTGGAAATGCACCACTGTCCAAACCACCCTCACCTTTCCAAGTCATTCAAACTGGCCTCCATCTCTTCCCATTCTGCAATAAGCCGACTGATTTATGGCAAGTGAACTCAAGCACAGGCAGGCATATGAATGAAAATTTGTCAAGTTTGCTTTTCCCACTCTGGTCTGTGAATACTGCCAGAGAACCACATTGAAGCAGCAGCTTCAGCAGAGCAATCAAAGCCTTTGTTTTTTTCTCACCAGCCCACAATCCCACCTGCTTTAGCGAGACGAAAAGAGTCCTTTAAAAACACAGAGGCGGCATGATTTATTATTCTAATTAGTCTAAGTGAGACTTTTAAAAAGCCACAATTACACTAAACAAGCAAAGCAGTTTCCAGGTTGACGACCTCTTCTTCTGGTCAGTTCTGGTAAGAAGCTTGCATCCACTCTTTAACTGCAGGAATGTTAATTTCAACTTTTAATGACTTCCTTTAACTTTTCTTTTTGGAGGCTGGATGGATATTCAAACTCCAATTTCAGTGATGATTTTAAGCAAAAATTGTGTTCACAAGTCTGAATTTACTGTTGATTTTCATAAATCCACAGGATCAAAATTCTGCATTGTAAAAGCAAAAGTGGGCCAGGTCAAAACTTTGCCATTGTATGCATTTTAAGTTCTGGATGTAACTTATTTACTCACCTGAAACAACATCAAATTGAATTTAAACATCACTGGTACTGGAGAAAAATCATCTTAAGTTCAAATTAAGCTGTCTGTAGCATTAGCTTTGGATGAATGTTCCATCCAAACACCCAACTGGTCCACGTTCACAACATCAAACTCTAGATTTGCTCTAGAAATAGTAAAATAAAAATGTAGGTAGTCTCCTTTCTTTCTAAATTTGTGACAGCCAAACAAACCCACAGCATGATGCTACCTCCACCATGTGACAACTGATACTGTGTTCTAAGTTTTGAAAGTCTTCTCTTGACTCCTATAAACTTATTTCTTGACATTTTGGCTAAACAAGTCAATCTTTGTCCCTTTTTGATCATAAAACCTTTCTCCAGAAACATTTTGGTTTGTCCATGTGTGCAACTGCAAGTTTCATTCAAACTTGATTACATCTGAGGGTGAGAGTTTGGAGAAGATGTTTGAAATTTGGATACAGATGGTGATCCAATAGGTCCAAACCTGATGAAAACTTATTGAGTACTCTTAAAAGAAGGGTCCGTCTTAGGAGATCAACCAGTTTAATGGAGCCAAAACAAGTTGAAATCCAGAATGATGCCAGAAATTTGTTAGAAATTTGCTAGAAAAAATGTCTGGATTTTCTTTTCTTGCTTGAAGGTATTAAAAAAAACATTCACTGTGTGAATGTTAATATTTGAGTCTATATTTATCATTTTGACACATTATGTATGGGAAAAAATATGTTAAACTTAGACCTGTCCACCAATTTCTTGTTTTTCATATTTATTATAGTTTTTCACTTTAAAAAACATTCCACCCTGGAAAAGTAAAAGTTCAAATAAATCATTAAAAGCCCCACGTTAATGAAATTGATACCAGTGACTGTATTTTGAGACATGTAAAGAGTCTGTCTAAGCAGTGCTTTATGTCTCCATGAAGTGAATTTAAACAAGCATGTCAGCTTACAGTGCATACGGCAGGTATGTGACCTGGCTAACCAAGTGTCTCCCATCAAACCCGGGGCTTAACAAGGAGTGATACCCTGGTAAAGTCTGCCGCAGTGTTTAATTCCAGGTCATTTCATAATCTCTTTGATAATCGCATCTGCACATCTCTCCGCATTCACTGTCTGACAATCAAACAGCTGCAAGCTGGCATGCTCGCTAAATCTTCCGCTACAACACACCAGCTATACAGTCAAATATATGCATGCAACCACTCCATGCATGCATGTCTGCACAAGTGCTTGTAAGAAAGCGTGTACGTACGCTCATGTGCACAAAAGCGCTCAAGCACACACATATCCACTCCTTCTACATTCATTTGATCACAGAAATTCCTTCAAATTAAAGTAGATCCTTCTAAAATCACAACTCTGCAGAGGTTACAGAAATGATATTGATTGATTTTTAAGTGGGAAGCGTGTTTTTAGAAGCAGAGAAGAATGGGGAGAAAAAGAACACACTGTGTCTACTGTATTTATGTAGTGTCTTCACATCCCTTTGGTCCTCTGTACCTCATCCCTTCTCCTCTTCCCACACCGCCTCTCCAAACTCACAGTTACACCCCAATCATCCGGCATCAACAGGCATGTGAACCTAGCACTTGGTTCATCTCTCCTTCTACCTTCCGCTCTTACTCTGCCTGCTCTGTTTTCATCTGTGTGCTTCCACTCTCCTAGCTTTCGGGTAATTACCTGGCATTTGCATTGCAAAGTCCCTCTGTTCAGCATTCAGCTCCTCCACAGGTGACTGAGCTTCATTTCTCTGGCAGATAAGAGAGGGGAGAAAGGAAGACAGGGAGGAGGGAAGGGTTGTAGAGGAGGCTGTGATGTTATTTTGGCTTGCAGAATATGGGAACAATGCCCTGAGTACTTCTTTTTTGTTGTTCTCATTGACTGAATCAGAGAACAAGGAATGATACTTTATGCTCCCACTGACAAACAATTATCATCATTACCGTCCCATCGCTAGGTCTTCCTGAAGTTCAAGTTGAAAGCAGTGGAGAACTGTACCTTTAAAAGACTTTGATAGAAAATGTCATTCTTTGATATTCAGTTTTATTTACCCACTTATATATTTTTTTTATGTGAAAACATAGTGAGATAAGTTTGATTCACAATACCAAAGTACTTGGCTAAATCAATAACGAAGCTGTAGAAGTTGCACAGATGATTCACTGCGGCGGCCCCTGAAGGGAAACACTGAAGAATTAATTAATGAATTTGGTTTTAGATTACTTAGAAAAAGTATTTAAAATACTTGAGTTTTCTTCAAGAATCATAGTTATATATTATCATAAATGAAAGTCTTCCGGTAGAGCCAAGATGGTTTCCAGTATCCATATTAATTCATATTTAGTGTTTAAACTATTAAAACAGGCATTTATAAGTGTTTTAAAGGGGCTCTCAAGTATTCACAGAGCTATTGATGGACAGTTCTGGTCCCTAAGTGCCCTGCATAATATATTTAATAATCCAATGGTGTCTTCACAGGTCCGCCTAAAAAAATCAATCAGACAGCTGCTGCTGATCCAGAACGCTGCTGTTTGTGTTCTCACTAAAACCAGGAAGTGAGAGCACATCAACCCAGTTTAAAGTCCTTCCACCCTGAGAGAGTAGACTTTAGTTAGTTAGTTTATAAATTACTGAACGGCTCAGCACAAAAACATATTAAAGATCTGCTCTGGGAAGATCAACCTTCCAGACCTCTCAGGTTTTCTGGATCTGGTCTGCTTCGCCTCCCCAGAACCAGAATCAAACGCAACATTCAGCTTTATGTGCCACAATAAACTTCCCAAAAACTGTGAAACAGCTGAAACACTGAGTCTTTTTAAATGGAGACTAAAAACCCCCCTGCTTAGAGTTGCTTTTGAACAATAATAAATGAAACATTGATCAACATATTTGATGTGTTGATGATTTTAACAAATTCACTTCACAAAATCTAATGTGTGTTATTGTCTTTCACAATTGTTGACTGTATCGTGTGTTTATTGATCAGTTTTTAATGTTTTCACAGTGTAAAGCACTTTGAAGGCCATGCTGCTGAAATGTGCTTTATAAATAAACTTGACTGATTGATAGTATACAAAGTAGATAAACCACTTTCATTAGCTACTGAAGTGATTGATATCAAGCTTTCTGTTGAACACATTTCATTTGGAAATGTTTCCTCTCAGTAATTTTATATTTTAACTGTTATGTATTTGTGTTTATTTTTTACTCTTTGAAACACCAGAATTTGCATACTTTTATAATTTTGTGTGCCAAATTTTTTTTAAAATATTATATTAATTATAAACAAATACATATTTACTTTTTTTTGTTTCTTTGATGGCTGCTTCACTGTTTTGTTGAGTAAAACTGTAAGTAGTGCTACTCTGACTTGAGGACAGTTTTTGGTTTACTCTCACCACTTCTGCTGGTGTCTAATGAAAACATCCAGTTACCAAAACTTGCACAGACCATTAAAACTGGTACTTCATACATCCATACTTTAACCTGCTCCACCAGAAGCACCTCCCACAAAACGGCAGCAGATAATTGGTGAGTGCTCATTTGCATGCTGAATGTGGTGGATATTTATTTAAATTTAATTTCGTTCCCGCACTCGGTGCTCTGCAGGCTTTTGTGCCAAAGTCATATTAACCCCTTGACTAGTTAATATGCATCGCACGACGTGGCCCACGTGCCATGAATATTCATCCTGATGGCGTTTTTTTTTTTTTTTCCCCCTTTCCGGTGTCGCTCCCTCCCGTCCTCGCCGTTTAACGTAAGTCCGTGATGGGGGCCGTTATGAAACCTTCCCGGAAGGCTCCGCCGTGCTCGGCCTGGTTTCCACAGACACTCAGAAAGTGCGCAGGGCTGCTGCTGGTGTACGTGTCGCTGCTCGCCGCTGACAGAATGACCGATAAGACCGAGCTGCCGAGCAGAGAGCGGGCTCTGAAGGGAAGGGAGGAGAGGATGGTCGTAGCAGGTAAATTTCAGAGTAACGTAAGTTTATAAAAGTTTAAACGAATCGTGGAGTCGGATTTTTTTTCTGGAGCCACGTCTGCTGAAACTAATAAAGCTTTGTTATATAATGAAAAAAAAAAAAAGACCCACACACACATTGACTGTAGAAGAACTGAGGTTCAAAATAATGCAAGGAAACAACTTCATCTATATTTTTTCTTCCAGAATTTTATAATATTTTTATGTATACCTAAATCACAATGGAAAGCTCTGCTGATTAATTTGCAGCAACAGATGGGCATGACATCATGAACTGATAGCACTTTAATCACCAACTAACTGGATACAAACAAGATTCTCTAAATATAAACTCCTAAATAGAACACACAGATCAGGCATAACATTATGACCGTCTGCTGCACTAGTGTGCTACGCAAACCTACAGGTAAAATAGGTTTGTTTTAAAGGCAAAATCAACTCTTCAAAACCCTGGCTTTGTGGCAGAGTGAAGTATCCTGCTGAAAGGAGCTACACCCATCCATGCAGGGTCCTATCCAGACTGTACAGGTTTCCAGTCCATCACAGAGAAACAGTAAAAGCACATGTGGAAGGGTAAGGTAAATTTCGAGTGGCATACTGGGAGGAAGTCAAGCCATCCTCCCAAAAGATGTCCAGCTGCCACATGTTTCCCAGGTAAACAATTCATGCACGCCCAACAATCTACTTCATGTAAAAGAACCAAGCCACCTTCCCCCATTGCTTCATGGTCAAAGGTTTTAAGATGATTTGATCCAAGTGTCTAGTCATCACAATTTGGTCCTTGTGAAACTTATGCACATTTCTAATGACGTACTAAACGTTCAGGACAATTATCACTTCTAGTATTTCACCCACTAGCAGATGGCATGTAGAGATGATCATACCAGTGGTCATAATGTTATGCCTGAATGGTGGTGTATATTGCTTGTCAGGGGAAGCTAGAAATGCAGTTTTCTTATTTTAAAAAAGCAGTGAAATGTCAGTTTTAATGGGTTAGCCCAGCCTGATATAGTTAGTGACTCTGCGGTTGAAAACATAAAAAACCTCAACATTTCTAAAACCTCCCATCAAAACAAGATATCCAAAGGTGGAAGCAACAGAAAATAACATTTCCTAAAATGTATTAGACAACAGTTCCTCCAAACAATCGAGGTCAGACTCCTGATGACACAGAAAAAGATTTAGTTGCACTCAGTACGAACAGATTCAGCCAAATTTCAGGGTTATTTTTTTCCATAAAGGTTAAAGAAACATCCAGAGTAATGATCCAAATGAATCGGTTAAAGACAAATCATAACCGAGGATCACTCATTTTAAGTTCAGTGAATATTGTTAGTTTTCTGGTTAAAATTGCTGTTTTTAATGTTTTATTATTAAAAAATTACCTGTGTTCATGAATTAAAAAGACATGTATTCTGGAAACAAAACGTGAACTGAAACCACGTTGATTTGGTCAGCCTGCAGCCTCTGCTGATGAACTTGTGATGTAAAACAAACAGCATATTTCAGTTCAAAGGTCTTAAAATCAAATGCTTCACTGAGCAACTCTAACAGTATATAAGTATCAGAGCTCTTCAACGATAAACCCAGCATTGTAGTTAAATAACCAGGATGTGATTACATATAAACAGTTTAAACTCTGGTACACTCACTGCTACCTGTCTGTGTAGATATAAAACAGTTTGGATGCAAACAATCACAAATAAGACTTTTAGTTTTGTGCAGGTGAGTTTAAAACAAACTGGTGCATGATTGTGACGTGAAAATAGTATGTGGTTTTAACATGTTTTACAGATGAAAGTCTTAAGAAGCGTGTCATTCATCAGTATTCTGGGCTCTTTATGCTGATAAGCCTAAATTAAATTAAATTAAATCCAGTTCACATATGGGTCATTTAATCAGGTTGTCAAAAAGTTTGGTTGTGACCTGACCAAATGTGGAAAGATATGCAGAGTGAAACTTTTGTTGAATTTCTGTTTATACGAGTAGCTGTAAAGTGTGTCCTGAAATTAAACTGGGTACACAGTGATGGTGATTCACACATCTTTGAATCAACGGTAACTTCTAAAATTCTTGTCCAAAGTTAACCTTGGCAACCAACATGTATTGTAAAGTCTTTTGAGCCAAAGCTCTAACCTTTGGACACTGATAAACTCTTTTTCAGTGGTTGTAAGAGCCTGCTGGGTTGTTTGCTGTTAGTAGTTGCTGTCAACAGTTTTATTACTTGGCTGATCGCAGTGTGACACTTTCATTCACCTGCTTGGGTTTCTCTTATGAAACAGGATGGCCCGTTATGAGAAACATTATGCAATCTGAGTCGGCTGCTTTTATTTGTCACCTGTTCAGACACTTGCGTCCGCTAAGTGCATTGTGGGAGCCAGGCGTGAGTGCATAGGAGGAAGAGGTACTACAGCATCCAGGGGCCCATCTGGGCATTATGCGCATGAAGGCTCCACTCCGTCGTAAGTTGCCTCTCCGTCTGTCGAAGCAGCTCGGAGACACGGCATGGCAGAAATCTGTTCCTCCCCTTTCACCATGGGGGTGGCAGTTTAGATGAGGATGGGGTTTTTGTCTTTAGTGTGTGTGTGTGTGTGTGTGTGTGTGTGTGTGTGTGTGTGTCGTATCTCTGTGGTCCTCCAAGCAGTAATGATTTAAGGAGTGTCTTCATATGTGCCCAGTTCAGTCCCAGCACTGCGGACCTCAGAGCAGACACCATTTTATTCCTCTCTGCATCGAACAGGACTCCTTTTCAGATTAACCTTTTGCCCTGGCACCCTGATAAAGTTACTCCTTGTTCCTGGTTCTGTTTCCTGTTGCCCTGCATTCCCTCCCTCACTGTGGTCTGTGTGATGTAGTCTGTGACCTTGGCAGGAATTATCCAATGGCAGATTGCTACATGGTAGGGGCACAGTAGCTATTATTTTGAGTCAGGGCAGGATAGACTGCCAATATTTCTTCTAAACAGAATGGGGGGGTGGGGGAGGCAAGCCGACTGAAATCAATTTCTGCTACGTGTTTCACTGTAACTGTTATAAACAGATTCATGGCAATGATATATTGCCAGTATTGTTTCACAGCTCTCTCTAGATGCCCTTTCTGTTTTTATTCAGTTTGTGAGGAATGACAAAGTGGTGATGCAAGTTTACAAGATAGGCAAATGTGAGCCAAATAAAAAAGGATTTGCTCCGTGTGGAGGAGGGTTCCCTAAAATGTAAGTTAGTCTTTTCCTTTTTGTTCCGACATTGATCTTGGAAAACCTCATTCAATCAAAAACATGGGTGAATAAAAAAAATCACATTCAAGAATCTAACTCCATTCACAGAAATGGAGCATTCGCATTGTGACCTATAGTTGGGACTTCAATTTACAGTTCTGGTCAGAAGTTCATCCATCTTATTCCATTCACTTTCTGCAATCGATTATGTGAAATATGCCTTTAGCATGATGTGGTCAACCCCATGCTTGGAAGTTGGTACAAGGCTTTTAGGTTAAAAGGCCTCAGCAGGAACACTTTATGTTCTTTGTCTTATCTTGAAGACAAAAGTGGAGCTTAATTGTGTTGATTCTTTGATACTTTGTCTTTTAGTTTCTATACTTTGGACCACAAATTAATATGAATCTGAATCTGATTTTGGAGCTGGTACTTTTCAGTCCATGTTGATGTTAAAAACTGGCTTTGGTTTGGACAGAGACACAGCTGTTCCAGTTGTTTCCTGTTCAGGTTTTAGTCACTTGAGTCTTGGTGTCTGCAAGCGTCAAACCAGTCAAGCCACTGGGAATTCCAACTGGACAGTGCCTCCAAACACACATTGATCCTTGGAAGTCTGCTGTCTGTTCTAAATAACTATAGGCTCATTGCCAAGCTACTTGTAAAGGCCAAACTTCTCAATTTCCTTGCTAGTGATCATTTAATGGGGCTTTTAATTAACAACTAGGTTGTATTTGACTTCTAGTCTGGGTTTAGAAAAAGGAAACATGGCACAATAACAGAAGCTCTGAAAGATATTAATGATTTTATCCATTATAATAACACACACTGTGCTGCCCTCTCTGCTGACCTCTCTAAGGCTTACAGTCCCACTCATTGCAAATGCATAATTTAGCAGATCTGTCCACAGAAACTGTCCACTGGTTGGAGCATTATTTGGCAGAACACATTGTGTACTAATGGCAATGCAGCTAAATACCTGCAGTGGTCTTCTCGGGGCTCCCATTTTTGGAGACTTGGATCTCATCCGTGTCTGCCTCGGCTCCTGGGGGCCACACTGCTTCCTTATAAACCTTATAAATACAAGCATGCAAACACACACAAGTCTGGATTCAGGTGTTCAGATATTTTGGGCTGTGGTTGCCACTAAATACATCTTTTAGTTAGTATTGTGTGCTTTTCAGTGATATTGCTGTTTTATATATGCATCTTGTCGCTGTGGTTTCTTGGTGTTTGTTTTTCTCTCTTTCTGCAGATGCATACACAGATTCCTGGTATGTCTTCTTGTCTTCTCTCAATCCGTCTCCCTAGACTTGTCATAATAACAAATTTTACCGCACAATAAATTGTCCCAGTAGTTATTGCAATTTATGATATTATTATTTTGATACCATTTTCAAGTGATTTATTGATAATAGCATAATAATGCCAGTTTGCTCCCTCCCAGATAAATAAACTTGATTTTTTTTAATGCTTAACACTGGAACTAAAAAATATTTTCCAAAATAAAACACACAACAAAAAAAAAAGAAAAAAATAGGAATAAAAACCACACACAACAGAAGCAATAATTAAAACTGATTATGAAGTCTGTGTAAATGAAATTGCTCTAACATATTAACCATCAGAGTAGAAATTATTGACCTCATTTCAATTTATAATATGATGAATTCATTAACTGCTTTTTGCGACAGATTTACTTCTACCTCTCCTCTATTTTTATTTCCTGCTTTTCTATTTATGTTTTATCCA